ACACGCTCTGTTAAGGACTATGCACGTGAACTGTACAGTACATTGCAGTGGCACGAAAGATAGGAACTACAGAGCCCAAACCCTTTAATGCTTCCTCTGGGTGGTTACAGAGGTTTAAGATCCGGAACAAGATCACCAATATAAACATTAGTGGTGAAGAAGCGAGTGCTGACCGTGCTGCGGCTAGGGAATTTCCTCCATTTTTACGTGAGATTATGGAGGAAGGACAGTACACCGACGACCAGGTGTTTAACATGGACGAATCTGGTCTTTTCTGGAAAAAGCTACCTTCCAAGTCCTTCGTTGTAAAGAATGCCAGCAAGATTCGGGGCCGGAAGATGCAGAAGGAACGCATCACCGTCCTGTTTACCACCAATGCCTCCGGTACCAGTAAGCTCAAGTTATCGGTGATCCACACAGCACGCAAGCCGCACGCCTACAAAACCATGGACATGACCAAGCTAAATGTCCACTGGCTGACCGCACGTAAGGCGTGGATGTTCTCTACACTGTCCCTCTCCTGGTTTGATGACTGTTTTGTTCCCGATGTAAAGAAATTCTGTGAGCAACAGAATGTGCCATTCAAGATTTTGTTGCTGCTGGACAACGCACCAGGACACTCGCCCCTACTGTTAGATCGTCACCCCAACGTAAAAGTGGTCTTCCTTCCTCCCAACACTACGTCTATATTACAGCCCATGGACCAAGAGTTAATCTGTAATGTAAAAGCTGCATTCTCTACAAAAAAATTCAAACTCCTGAACGACTACACCAACACCAGGGAAGAGTTGCGCAACCTGAGTGACACCACCACCGATAGCAAGAGCGAAGAAGATGAGGATCAACAGTTGGCACAGCAAAAAATACTGTTCAAACAATTCTGGAGAGTATTTAACATCAAGAAAGCTGTGGACTTCTTGGTGGAGTCATGGGATCAGCTGTCTATTGCTACAATTCGTCACGCATGGAGACATGTGTTGCATGGAATACCAGGTGAGAGGAGGAGTCAATCTGTGACTGGTGAGGTTCAGAATGTTGCAGTAGCAGTGGACCTTGCCAGAGAAGCTGCGCAGACTGTTACAGTTCCAGGCTTCTCCGAGACCACCAACGACGACATCCTGGAGGTGATAAGGGATCCTGATGTGACTACCGACGAGATGGTAGATGATGATGATGACGACGTCAGTGAAGAGGCAGGTGGTGCGTCATCCCAAGAAGAACAACACTTATCCCATAGTAATGTTAGGGGTGCCATCGAGTGTATCGAGAAAGCCAAGCTCCTCCTTTCCGACGACCCTGACGCAAACAGGTATGAAATCTTCACTACCCAGCTGTTGCAGACTATAGAGCCCTACATCAAGGTGTATCACGACAACATCAACACCAGCCGTCAGCAAAGCATAACAGATTTCTTCGCCCGCAACCCACCACAGCCAGCCCAAGCCAGTGATAGTGACAGTGAAGATGACTTTGAGGGATTTGTCAGGGAAGCCCTGACAACTGTAAGTGACAGTGATGGTGATTCACCTAGTAATGGTGATTCACCTGAGGGCCAGTAATCTGCCCTCTGCCTCGGAACCAGCCTCCATCCCCGTATGCCGACCCATCTCTTCTACTAACGTAAGTGTTCCACATAACTTTTAGTTTTCCTAACCTAACCTTTATTTTTCCTATGTTAACCTTTATTTTTCCTAACCTAACCTCTTCTATATTACTTGTTTTTTCATACCATCATAAAGTTAAGATAAAATTTTTACTACAACAAAGTTGTGTGTCGTCAAAAAGTGGAGTTTGGGGGTCGGCCCGGACTCTATTTCAATTAATCCCATATGTTATGTTATTCACTTTACGCGTTCCTCACTTTCCGCGGGACCCTGCGGGTTACATTAACCGCGTAAAGTGAGGGTTGACTGTACTTTGATTTTGCCAGGGCATTTGGTAGCGTACCTCACAAAAAGCTGAAATAAATTGGTGGTGGTACATGGGTAATGCACGTATCTCTCACTACTTTGAGAGGTGGGAGTGGTGTTATCCACGTTTACTTCAGCTTGAATGGTTAGTTAACTGATAAGTGGTGAAATGGGAAATTAAACTGGAAGGGCATTGAATTTCTGAAAGGGAACAGACATGACTATCAAGAACACTGGGGGGATCCTACACAGGCCACTTGGCCTCCTTCCCTTGGCATGGCCACTTCTAGTTTGGGTTGTAATTATTTAAACAAGGTAAATTATTTATTAACAAGGTTTATACACTGCTATGTATATTACCTGCATGTATTTTCAAATAAACAACAAACTTCAGATGAAGATAATACAGTATTTAATGGCTTTAGTTTAGCTGAAATTGTGTCGATAATAAAAAAAATATCGTTTGTGTGCATTTCCGTCACTACACCGGCCACTCTAATAACATGCTCCCTTCACCGTGCATCAACAGCATTACAATGACTGGTCCACAGTGGCTATGTATAGAACTTATGACGACCATGAAAAGATTAAAAAGAAAAATTATTATTTTTGTATGTCAAAGAAGTATAATCCAATGCAACTCGATAGCGTAAATACTGGTGATAACATTTACAAAGGATTCCAGCTTAATTGCAGTGTCATTGAGTGTGCAAAGAGGTCCAACGGTTCTGTAAGGGATATGTCGTTAATGTTGATATCAACAAATTTCTACTTGTCAGCGTGTTTTATCAAAAACCTAAATACAGTGTAGCTTTAACCTGTTGACAGGTCCTTAAAGCCCTCAAAATAATACTTTACCAGATAGAACATAGTCAGTTCATGTGATGATATGTTTGGATGTTAATTCAAGCTATTGACAACACAACATACAGTATATATATTGTTTCTCACTTATGATTTTTTCCCATTTTTGTATTTCTTATGGTTCCTTATTATTATTATTATTAGTGTTGTTATTATTTATTATTATTATCATTATTATTTTATTTTATTTTCAATTTTGTATTTTGTATTATAAATTTTATTATTATTATCATTATTATTATTATTATTATGATTATTATTAAATTTTGGCCCCCAGGTCCCGATGTGGGTCAGTGACCTGTGCTCGAGTGGGCTAATCCCCATAAAAAAAAATATATGAATATATATAAAGAAACTTTTGTCACTAGTGTATGCGGGTTGTTTACGTACCTGACCAATTAGTTTAGATGGGTAAACTTTTAAACAACAATTGGTGCTTGGTAACGAGTTAGCGCTCAGTTAGGGTTTTCCTTTAGAAGTGGAATTAATGAGAATTATATTGTTGGTTGATTTTGTATTCAGGGAGGGAAAGGTAATTCAAAACAAATACTGTACTGTAATTTCGTATGAGTGATTTCCATGTTGACATTCACCTTCTTGTGAATCTATCCAAATAAACAGTGCTCAAACTCTCAATAATGTTTATCGTATAAATTAACACTTCACGTCAGCATTATCACATTACTTTAATGTCTCTAGATTTTCTGATACATGTGGATTATTGTGTGAACTGATACAGCTTACGTACTTAGGACCTCCACCATGATTATTCCTCCAGCCAACATTTTCAGTATCATGTTGTGAATCACCTGAAGATTTTATCACCTCAAAATTAACTGGGGAAGGGGATAATTGTCAGGTAATCCCATATTGTTATGAAAAAGGGTATTAAGGAAATGGGTTCCCAAATGATACTAAAATGATGCACTCCATGTCTGCTTCCCTTCCTCCTACTAATGCAATGAACTGGCTCCCCTACCGTCCCACTCACTAGACTGTCTTGTTTCCACACACCAGACTGGCTTGTTCCCACACATCAGACTAGCTTGTTCCCACACACCAGACTGGCTTGTTCCCACACACCAGACTAGCTTGTTCCCACAAACAAGACTGGCTTGCTGCCACACAAGACTGGGTTGTTCCCACACACCCATCAGAACCATTTTATATGATCAAGTATAATGCTCCTTTTACATTGTGACATCGTTATAATTTCGCGTCATTATTAGTCAAAAAAATATGAGATTAAATTTATGTAACAGCAAACTCACTTACTCAGTGGTGTATGATGCCGTGCCTAAGATACCGAACACCAAACTAAGTACGATGACCACCCCTCAAGTAAGATGATTTAATCCCTTGAGTATGATGACAACCTCTTGAGGCATCAAATCATCGTACTCAAGGTGGGTTAAATCTTCAAATTCAAGGGGATAAATCACTGTACTTATGATGTAAAATCATCGTTCTCAAGAGGTTAAATCAACCTACAGTACTTAGTGTTGCACAGTACTCAAGGGGTTAAATCATCATACTTGAGATGCTGCATTGGACTCAAGGGGTTAAATCATCGTACTCTTGCATCGTATTCAAGGTTTTAAATCTCATCGTCGGGATTGTCAATACATAAAACAAGTCCTCAGTGAGTCAGTGTCAAGGTTGCTACCGACCTATAACAAAGAAAGATCGGGTGTTACGTCACGCTGCTATATGAGAGGGGAGGGGGAGACAACAGAGACAGGACAATAGGTGGAAAGTTGAAGAACGAGAGTTGGCAAATAGGTGAAGGAAGAAGATGAGATGGATGAAAGATAGGTGGAAAGTTGGAGACAAGAAGGATAGGTGTTAAGTGGAGAGAAGCAAGGTGATAAGTCGAAAGAAGCTGGATGATAGGCGGAAAGGTGGAGAGAGAAGCAGGATGACATGTGGAAAACTGGAAAGAAGCAGGATGATGGATAGGTGGAAAGGTGGAGAAACAGGTTAGGGTGGCAGAAATGTGAGAGAATGATAAGAAGGCACAGAATGATGATGACGATGGTATATTGAAAGGATTAAAAATGAAGGACGAACAGATTGGAAAACAAAAAACGAGGTAAAACAGGACAAAGAATGCAAAGTAAAAGTATAAAACATAAAGGAACTGGCTGGGCAGAAGAAATAAAAAGGATAGCAGGTGGGGAGGCTGTGTGGTAGGCGGGGGGTAGTGCGCGGAAATGGGGGGCCGACGCAGAAGAGCTGAGAAGCAGTATAAAAGGCGACGGACTGGCAGCCTCGTCCACCATCAGGCCTCTTCTGCCGTCTATCTCAAACATCACCCTCAAGCAAGTAAGTGCTGGACTGAAGCTACTGGTTATTCATCGTGTAGGCTTGGATTAATATCTTAACACACCTACCAAGAAGGTGCTAGGCTGGAGTTAGCTCCTTGTAGGTACTTTACTGAGCAGAAGTTTGTAATATTCCTTTCATCGTAACTACAAATTTTGTTAAGTGAGGCACTGAGAGAGTAGCTCTATACTTTCTAGAGGGAATAAGTTATTTTCTAACAAACAGCCTGAGCATCAGCGAAGAAGTATTATAGAAAACCTGGCCGACATCTTTCATAAAAACATAAAAAAAATATGTTTATTATTGTTGCTATGTATTTCTATACTGTACTTCCATAAGTAAGGTTCTTAAGCACGTACACTAAGTCGGTTTATTCGTTGGACATATATTTTTTATTAATTCTTTTTCGGCTAATCATACATTATTAGGTTACTGCAATTATTCCTAAAACTTAATTTTGCCTAAGTTTCTCAATAATCTAACGTACTTTACCAGAATGTAAACTCTGAATGTTTTAACAATTTTAGGAAGCATTCTTAAGTACAAGTATAAATTTACAAGGTGACGTTACAATTATTGCTGTCCACTGCAATAATCTCAAGTCTTTAAGGTTGACAAAGTTTATAACATTGCACGAAATTTAGAATTAATGTTAGCCCCTGTGAGAAAATATCGGTCTATATTTCCAAGTTAAATAAGATAATCATCATAAGTAAATAAAAGTAAAGGTAAAGAAAGCTCTGTTTTAGTTAGACCGTCACACTATAGAATGAATATTAAGATTGTGAAAGATAAGAATATGCTGTATATATTTTTTTAAATCAGACGCAAGTTATTTTACTTTTTTCCACGTTTAAATTTTGAATACCTCTACCATATTTTCGCATTTGTTTTCACTTAAAATTGTGAGTAAAAGATGACTTAATAATCTGCACTTATCGACCTTAGCTATTGAAGCAAGCTTTAATTCATTAAGATAATGAAGCAAACTTTAAAACATTGAAGTAACATGTTGCCTTAAATTTGTTAAACAGTGAATGATAAAAAACATTGAAGTCAGCAGTGCATTAAACTCCATTGAAGACAACCTAATTTAATATACAGGTGTAATGTGTACTTGATAACTAATGTATTTACTAACTCAAAACGCGAGCTTATAGAAGTTTGTTGCATTATCACAGTAATGTATTCTAATATTACCAACATTAAATTTTAAGGTGGTGGTTACAGTATAACACTGTTTATTAAGTATTTTGATGTAATTGTTTTAGAAGAACACCAACATAAAGTTATTGAGGAGATATAGTTATTGACGGATGTTTGTTTCAGAATGCGTAATACCGTGGCCGTAGCGATGTTGATGTTGGTGGTGATGACCACCGTCCTCACCCAGGCGCAGGAACTCAAGTATCCTGAGCGTGAGGTGAGTCCTACCGGTCTGTTGTGTGGGTCCCACTGACACACACACACGACTAAACCTGTAGATTCTTACAAGCTTCTAATAAGTCAGGCAATGTAATAAATCCTAACTGTAATGTAATAGGTAAACAGAAATTGGAGGTAAAGGAGTGCAGTACTTCCCTATTAAGACGTTCACAGTACCTTAATAAATAAGCTATCATTTCTAAGCTCCTTTAGCTGTCAGAGCTTGAAGGTGGTAGTGGATATACAGTATTCGAGTGGGTAACAAGTCTTGTCCTTTTTATTCAACTCCCGAGTCTCCGTCGTGAGATAGTTAACAAAATAATGTGATGCTTCCCCGTAAAAAAAAAACTTAAACAATGGTGACAGCTCAAAATCAATTATGACGACAGTAGCAGTTAGGCTCACAAGAAGTTCGAATTTATTCGTTAGTCTCTTCATACTCTAACAGAATGAGCTAATTAGTCTCTATGTCAACAGAAGGTGATCGAATGTGTGAATTCAAATAAAACCTGTTTGATTGATATTCCAGTCAGCTTTTCATTGCTGGATTATTGCAATTAATACTTTCATCACACACACACACAAACTTTACCTGATCAGATGGTGATATTAATGTAGTTTAAGGGGTCATCTATAACATGGGACTTTATTGACGAGGACAGGTCGTGGCAGAGCTGGCAGCGCAGATCCTGCGTGTGATTCAGGGACCATGGGGACCCATGGCCGCAGGACCCCACAAGCGCAACTCTGAGCTCATCAACTCCATCCTGGGACTGCCCAAGGTGATGAACGACGCCGGTAGGAGATAAGCGACTTCCTCCTCTTCCCCCTTCCTCTGCTAACTCTAAGGTAGTTATGTCGTAGGTCAAAGTTATCTTTTGGGATCCCCTTAAGATTTGCCATCCCCAAGCTTATTTCACCTGAACATTAACCTAACCTACCCTTACCCATCCAACCCAGATTGCGATAGGGTGGTTAATATTCAGATGAAATAAGCTGGAGGGCGACTCTTCAGGTTTTCCCTGTTTTGCTCTGAAATGATGAAATTGAGGATTAAAATTGTGAAGGGGCTTATTAAGCATGGTGTTGAAGGCTCCATGTTACTGTATATGTTGTATGTGAGTGTGGATGTATGTACGTTGTCAGTGGGTGGATGTTTGTTTGGATGTACTGTACGTGTGTATTTCTTTGTTTTTTGTCTGTGTAAAGCCAACAGAATTGTAAACTATATCGGTCTTTTCCCCACAGGACGAGACCAGCGGGTGTATATGTGTAGAGCCTTTCACCATCTTACCCTAAGGGCGGACCATCAATATCTAACTTTTGAGACAATGTAACAGCACCAAGCGTGTGTCTTATTACTCCAGCACCTCACTCCTGTAACACTTGTGCTTATATTAAAGACCATATAGAGTAGGAACGCTTTTGTTTGATTATGTATATATACAGTATATTTATACGTATATTAAAACACCAACACCCACCATTGAGTAAACTGGACAGACATAAAATTAGTCTTACCCTTCGAGTACCATTATCATATACGATTAATAGATCTCTATGCTAGAACGTCTATCTGAACGTAATTCGTATATTTTACTGTTTAACTATTATAGTGAATATATGAATAATCTGTGTAACGGAAGAAGGAATCTTAATACGATATTTTCCGGACAAGCAGATGAAGCTTGTTTATGTATTAGTATTTTGTTTGCGGTAAGTACTGAAGAGAAAGTGTCTGAAAATGACGAGCGAGCTAAAATAGAGATAACTATTAAGTAAAAACAAGAATTACTGAATCACCAACAGAATTAAAGTTAACAACCAAAGGTTAAGTATAGTAGAAATACTAAAAATCACCAGATGTGTGCAACTGTTTATACCATCAAACAGGAGCTCTTTCTAAAACACCAACTGTATTAACTTTAGTTTGATGTTAATTTTAAGTAAGGCTGGACTAGTAAAGTACTCAAATAGATGCGTACTGATTTATTACTTACCTTTTGAAACTTGTCTTGAGAATGAGATGTTTGTGAAATTTCTAACTCCACACTGGTGCAAAAAACAGCTTGAAAATCTTATTAGGTATCTTAATATTAATATGAAGACTCCTACATGAGTCCATTGCCATACGTAGGATAACTTTTGCAATCATAGTGAAATTATTGGTTGGAAAGGAAAGACGTACGGTACGAAGGACAGATGCAGGTCAGTATGCACCCTACCTCTTCATACAAATTTTGGACATACTGTATATAATGGAAAACAAACACTGACATATACTTCACTCTACTCCAATCTGTTGTTATTTAATGTACTGTACTACCATATATTCCTATCGATAAACTTAGTAATAGCACCGAGAGGACTGAACCATCAGTTGTTCTAACGAAACAGCAACATACTAAGATAGATGAAGTGTTTGTTCGGTACGGTAATATTTCTTAATTATAGGCTTAAATATGAATAGTTTACCATACGCCACGGTGAATAAATATACCTTAATGTTGCTGTATTTGTGCAAACCATTCTCTTAGGTCCTAAGCACGCTCACCAAGTTTCAGTAGTTTACACACTGAACAATTGGTGCTGGTGCTCAAGACTTATCACTTAAGAGAAACTAGAACAAAGTTTACAAATTAACCGTCTAGTGTAAACTACAGAGAGCAAGAGCAATACCGGCAGCAGCGGCGGCAAAAAGTAGAAAAGTAATTGTTACCAAACTGCGGATAGCCCCCAAAAGGTACGGCAAAGACCTTAAATCTAGCCCATTTATTATGACTTACAAGACTTACAGCATAGCTTGCCGTTTCACACTCCTATAACAATTAATACATAATATTATCCTCACTATTAGGAATATAAATTTAATTCTGTGGATTAGTGACACGATTTATTAAAATAGGGCGTAATATAAACATTGAGCACTGAATTCTCTTCCCAAATGATAGTGAAAACTTTTTTGCTTATAAAATTATTGAAGGAAATTAATTTTTGTTTATCAGTTTGCCGGATGAAAACACCGCATAAAATGACACAAAATTGCTTCTTTTTTACTAGTTTGTTGAAATTAGTAAATATTTTTTTATTGGACACTTAAGCACTAAATAGTCACTTAATGACAAAAAGAAGAATGGAAACATGTCCACTCTTAAGCATTTTATAACACCTGGGGAAATACACAAACTGATGCATTGTACACAAAGTGCCTAACAATGATCATAAAATGAACTGTCCTGTACTTGCCTTCACCACAGTCACTAGGATGAAAGTTAGGACACCTCCATTTTTTGCCTTCATCTCCATAACACGGTATTTCTTATGTATAATATTGCCTATAAAAGTTCTTGCCCCATTCTGTTGCGTAGGTCGGTTTTGATCAAGTTTACCTGGCTGACTCGTTCGACGTCAGCATTGCTAATGGGTAAGCACAAAATTTTAAGAATAAATTTAGAAAGAGTCTCGACTCTTTCTCCCCACCGGCGTCTGTGTTGTCGCCAAGTCGCCCAGAATTCGACAGGATCCTTATGAACTGCTTCCCCCTGTCTACCAGGTTTACCTGCAGGATGGAGATAATGCAAATAATAAATGCACAGATGGACTGATGTGTGTGTGTGTGTGTGTGTGTGTGTGTCAAACGATTCTACGAGACAATTGACAAATGCAGTAATGAACATGATTCAATAGGCCGTAAATGAATGCTTAATTAATATTACTGTATTTCATATTCTTGCGCTATGAATTTACTATTGATAAATGAGAAGATTATTTGTTGTTGCCTGACCGACAACTGCGGCTCTGCCTGGTACCTATCTGTCTCACCAGCCGCTATACTAAGCCCTCCAGTGAGAAAGTGGGAAAGGAAATTACTATAGATCTTATTTCATTCAAAATTTTAAATTACTCTATGACTGTAAGGCAATACATGAAGAGAAAAATGAGCAGAGTTATGTGCTTTCCCTTATTACCAATCCTAAAAAAATCATTATTCATTCATAAGACTACATTGTCAAAAGTAGCCCAATTTTAGGCAAGTAGCGGCACCATTTTATTGCCCGCGGCAAGCAGTTTAAAAGTAGCCCAATTGGGCGGATAAACCGCGGGTTTGGCAGCACTGCTCCTGTGTGTTGGTTAGTTTGCTGCATGCGCTAGAGCCTGACACATGCGCAGTTGTTCCTTAGATGAATCACACGTTAATTGGAGGTATGGTTTTGGATCAACCAATCACAGCTCGGTATAGGGCCCTCACCGCGACTTCTTTGAATTTGAATTTATTTTCAAGATGTCTCCCTTGTGTAATGGCAGTGATGTTGATTACTTCCAAGCCACCGCAAGTTTTTACGTTGAATATTACGGTAAGGACGGTGAGGCGTTGATATTTCTCCACGAACATGGTGTTTCGCCAACTGAGGTTACTTGCACGAATTGTAACCAGCCCTGTAGCAATAAAGCTTACAAACAGTGGCCAGTACGACCCGTGGATGACCCCAACTCTGAGTCTTCTGAGTTTAATTAAGGTAAGCACTACTTATTCCAAAACTTAGAATCCTAAAACTCGTTGGATAACCGAAACGATAATTTTACCTAGGCTAGATTAGGTTAGGTTAGGTGTGATTAGCGGTAGAAATGAAATTAAATTCGTTTTTGCATTAGTTCACACAATTTTCCTACCCCAAATCTATTATATTCGAATAAGACGTCTAATTTTAAGATAATTGTCGGCGACATTTCAATCATGCACCGGTCTTTCTCTGTTATTAATATGTTTTTCGTAATGTCTAGACAATTCTAAGACCCTATTCTGTGATATTCCCTCCGGAAATTAAGGATAACCAAGATATTAATTTTCAATATTATTAGATTTGGTCAGCCACAAGTGTCGCCATTTGTTGTTTACGTCTCACAGAGAAGGCTTGACCACCCATCACGCAGTGCTCCTTACCTCCGTCTTGGTTTCTTAAGCGTCTACAGAGCATGTTCGGGGAGGGAGTTTCTTATTGGCTATAGCGTTAGGAGACTTATAATCAAAGATTCTAATAATAAAGACGGGAAAGCAAGGCGAAAACCGCGTAAGCGTAGCGTTAGAGTGCAAAGCGCGGGTCGTCTGTTTACATGGACATTTAACCATGAGTAGGCGTCGTCACACGGTACAACACATCACACAGAGCTTGTGTTTCACGTTTTCCCCAAAGACAGAAAAAGGTAATATATAACACCATCCATCATCACTACAGATCGGTAAAGTAGTTTCCGAAATTCTCGTGCGGACACACAGACAAATAAACAGACAGACTTCTTTATTATATATATATATATATATATATATATATATATATATATATATATATATATATATATATATATATATATATATATATATATATATATATATATAGTCCTTAGGCTTTAGTAAACCCCTTCATAATATTTATACTGTATATACTTGTCACACTTGCCAGATGCTTCTGGTGTTATTGTACAGGGGTACCTAGTGACAGCACTAGGATCCCGCTTCCTCTGTCAAGGAATAAACAATTGAATTGAAATATATATATATATATATACGGGGGATGTTGGTCTAGACTTGAGAACTTTGGTAATAATTGCGAAGTGTCGACGAGTAGTTTAACGGTAGAGTTGATTGTGTAATCTTGTTGATTTGTTGATAAAAGTGTTCACAGATGAACCATATGTCTCAACACAGTAGAGCCGTAAGGTTATGTAGTTATTTGTCCGATATTGATAAACTCTTCGTGAGACAAATTATTCGTTATTCATTAACTTCTTTTCTTCATAATTGACATTGGACGTTGTCAATAAAGTCGCCAGTCAGTGTTTACTGCCGAGGAGCTATCTCAGGATCTTGGTCTATTTTTATTTTATTTTGTTGTGCATTTCTGTTCGATCCATTGTTATATATTATGGCGTTGTATTAAGAAGTGTTTTCATAAATACATAATAGGTAAGTTTAAATGTTGATGATATAGTTATTGCATATACCTGTAGATGTTTCTAGGAATTAATTTCACACGGTTACTTATTGCGAGTTTGTTCCACAATATACCTTCATTTTTTTCATTAATTGCGTTTGTAGGTAGTGTATATGCTGATATATATATATATATATATATATATATATATATATATACATATACACATTGATAAAATCACACGAAAAAGGGAAATAATGGAGCACCTTACATGATGTATATATATATATATATATATATATATATATATATATATATATATATATATATATATATATATTCATTGTTCGACTTTGAATTGATAAAACAAGAAAGGTATGAGTGAGAAAGATGTTGTGCTGCAAACATTTATTTCAAAGAAAGTTTTTGATGTTCTGTCCTCAGCGTGAGATTGAAAGGCTGTACACACCCGCTGATCTCGTTCTGTTGGAGAGACCAAGAAACTTCACATACGCTATTGAGGACAAAATATTCGGGTCTTTTCCTGTAGGCGGAAGTGACAAAATGCAATGTTTATAGTGACAAGGAAAATGTACAATAAACTAGCAATATTAACAGAAGGTGGAATATACACAACCCTTGCCCAACTAACTCAAGAAATCAAAACAAATATTAAAATTATTAAACCTCGAGATAAATTGATCTTATATCCTCACATATATGATTTGGAAGAGGAATGAGGGGGGGTCATTTATCTTCTACCGGCGTCGTTCATCACTTTAGGGATGCCAAGGAGGGAGTTGATCAGTTCGGAGTTGCGTTTGCGGGGTACAGCGGCTACAGAGCCCCAGGGACCTAGCGCCACGCGCAGGATCTGAGCAGCCATGTCAGCCACCACCTGCCCAAAATAAACAGTCAGGACTTGTTCTCTTAAACATGCTGATGCTATTATTGTCCTCGTACCTGGAAGTTTAAGAACACATCTTACTGATTAAATTAAGACTGAAATGGTGTTGGAATTCCACTTAAACTCAACCATAACTTGATGTATTCTCTTACCACTGCTCCTAGAATTCTACCAATCTTAGTCATAATGCACCATGAGATGGAATTAACAAAAAAGCTGAAAGGGAAGGGGAGGTGGAGAGGGAGATAGGGAAGGAGGGGAAGGGGAGGGATTTGGAGAGGAGGGAGAGGTGAATGGGGCAGCAGGAGGAAAGACAAACATGGCAGGATAGGAAAGGATGGTGGACAGTGGGAACATCTTATCACACAGAGTAGTAGGACTTACCTCACGCTCAGGATACTTGAGTTCCTGTGCCTGAATGAGGACGGCGGTCATAGCCACGAGCACCAGTATCGCTACAGCCACGGCGGTACGCATTCTGTAACACGATCATGGTTCACTAACTTTCCCTCGCTTCTGATGTGATGTTAACTTAGTACAGGAGTAGATCTATACAGCAGGCAGCAGCTACCAACAATTAAGTAAGGTATATAATTCTTCATGTTATAAGTAATATTACATTATCCCGTCGTTGTACCGCTGACGTAACAAGGTATATACAATAACTGTCCATAGTGGTGATGGGTGTCAAGCTGTATGTTCAGATTAAATTTCGAAGAGTATTTCTGGCTACATGTGCGTTTTCCCGCCTGTTATAAATTTATTCGTTAATATCTTTAATTTATTTTTAATCTTATTTTTTCGCCCCCTCGGGTTGTGGGTCGATGACTTGTGCCCGGGTGGGCTATTCCCCGTAAAAAAAGTGTTAAAAGTTTGTGACCTAATCTGGGATAGAAGGGAATGCAACGACAAATTATTAATACAGTACAAATGATTGCAAAAGTTTGCTTTAAAATGTATTCCGACTGACTGTGATTGGTAAGTGATAACCATCAAAGTGTCACCTTCAGTAACTCTTAAATCATTACCTAATCTAATACATCTACTGTACAGTATAATAGTTGGTTATAAATACTGACGCAAAAATCTACTCGTCCGCCTCTTGCAACTCATGTGACTGTGTTCAAGACCCACTAGTGCTGACTAGGGTTATGTCACAACAACATGCGTAGTGCCTCTTTCAACACACTTTACTAACCCGTCATTGTAATGGCATTGAGAAATTTGCATAATTGTTATGATAAATTATAAACTGATTAAAATAGTATGAGGGAGTGTGTCACAGCAAGAGCTCTATATTAAGTTAATTTAAAATTAACATTAGCAGCTCTGTTGTGAACTTGTTAATATGTATGCAAAGTTTTACCGTGTCTTTTAAAATAATTAGATTTGTCTATGATTTAACGGATGATTTACACATTATTGATCCCCCCAAAATTGCATAAGCGAACTTTTTTTTACGAGTAACAAGTGTCTTTAAAACACCGAAACCCCTTATTCATGCCCCAAATTTTCCTAAACAAATAAAATTAACTAATATTTTTCTATAAGTGACATACTTGAGGGTGTGAGTGGTGGAGTGATGGAGACCTGATGGTATCCAACAGTTGGGGGCCACCATATTTATGTGTGGGGACTCGCCTTCTGCGCACCCCTTAAGCGCACTCATCCCCCCACACCCCAATGGACACCCACTCAACCATATCATTCCCATTCATTTGTACCACAATTATCTATACAATTGGTTTTTTAAGCAGTTAATTAACCAGCAAGATACGTTCGAATAAATTCCAGGCGATAGAAATAATTAATACATATACGTACTGTAGTTACCATCATTAAGACCTTTTGAGAATCATAACTAAAATGCCTAACTTAATCTAACCTACCCTAACTTTATCTAATTTAGGTCTTAAATAAACAGAGGTGTTAAGGAGTAATTGGACGATTATCCCTATCTATCGTGACACCTGTACAGTTATATACACAAATACACATAAAACTTATACACAGAAAAACACAAAGTTTTCATACTTCTTGCATCTTGGTTTTTGTGTACACGTCACTATCCATCTTTCACTAGACCGTGTACCAAGAACTGTACAGTACTGGACCTCCACGAGCGAGCCGTGACTATTATTTGCAACATTTTCTAATTACCTACTGTATATTGTTAGTTTAGGTTAGGATGGTTAGATTATACAGTATGTAAAGTTATTCGACTCTATTAGGTAGTAGGTATTAGGCAGCTACCAAACAGGGAGGTACTACCGCCTGGGAAGATATTGGAAGCATAATGTGTTGTCTATGGTAGACCCTGCTGCTATATGGCATCACAAAAATTGTGACCAAGTCCCAGGTTGCTGATCTGACTTTCTGCCTCATTTACACACAATTGCAGGGTCTCAATTGTTTCACTTACTATTAACAACACAACATACATATATTGTTTCTCAATTTTGATCTTTTTTAATTTTTGTATTTATTTATGGTTCTTTATTATTATTATTATTATTATTATTATTATTATTATTATTATTATTATTATTATTATTATTATTATTATTATTATTATTATTATTATTATTACATTTTCGCCCACCAGGCCCTGATGTGGGTCAGTGACCTGTGCCCGAGTGGGCTAAGCCCCGTAAAAAAAAAAGATAAAAGTCAGAAGTTGAAAACGCTAGTTATCGTTATTCCGCAATTATTCATAGTGCCAGGTGGCCGGGCAGGTACTTACCTAATTAATAACACCCAGCAGCCAGTTGGCTATTCGATCCCTATGACGGGCAGCTGGACCACTGAGGCTACGTCACCCTGGCAAGGGTTGGTGATACATCGGTAGCGTGCGTATCTCTCACCACTGTGTTATGGGTTCAAGTCCTATTTGCCCAGGACACAAGTGCATGGGAAGGGTGTTAATGCAATGTGACTAAAAGGCATCATTGGCTTCCTCAGGGTACTGATTCTGATTTCCTCCTATACTAACACTGGACATATAAAGTTCATATCAAAGTAATATAAAATCAGACCAACCACCCGATTGGATGGTAATGTGATAAGTGGTGAAATGATAAATAAACAAACAAAAACACCCACGTTGATGTAGACGCCCAAGAAGGCTGGGAAGAGAACACACACCAGTAAACACTCATCGCTACCCATACTTTGTTTGGCTCCTGTGTGAGGTGTTTTGGTGTGCTGTGAAGAACAACTCTTAACTAACCGGGTTAAAATCACCTCGTACAACCACGGTGCACCAAGACATCACGGTACACCTAGGTGCACCTGGGTACACCTAGACGCGTTACACTTAGACAGCTTGGTACACCTAGACACACCCCGGTAACCCCTAGACACACCTGGGTACACCTAGACACACCTGGGTACACCTAGACACACCCCGGTAACCCCTAGACACACCTGGGTACACCTAGACACACCTGGGTACACCTAGACACACCTGGGTACACCTAGACACACCTGGGTACACCTAGACACACCTGGGTACACTTAGGTAGACTAGATCATCTTTACTTTTACTTTTATCCTCTTCACCACTGATCGGCTCGTTGGGCGCTTGGGCTATGGGTCGCGTCTCTGTCAAGTCTGGTCTTGAAAGAGCTCACACTTGGTGCTGTCACAACACACACTGGCAGGTTGTTCCAAGAGTTCACAACTCTCACTCCGAAAAAGTTTGCCCTCACAGTTTTCTGGGCTTGCGGCTTCTTCAACCTTGAGCTGTGTGACCCCTTGTGGGGCGAGCGTCCGCCAGCTCCAGGTAAGGGCACTCGACTGAGTAGTGCCCTTTGAGATGTTTATACACTTCAATCAGGTCACCCCTCGCCTGTCTGTAGTATAGCTTGGCAATTTCAGGCGCTCTAATCTCTCAGGGTAGCTGAGGTGTAACCAAGTCGTTAGTGTAGCAGAAGTAGGTCATTAGTGTAGCACGAGTAGGTCATTAGTGTAGCACGAGTAGGTCATTAGTGTAGCACGAGTAGGTCATTAGTGAAGCACAAGTAGGTCATTAGTGTAACAGAAGTAGGTCATTAGTGTAGCACGAGTAGGTCATTAGTGTAGCACGAGTAGGTCATTAGTGTAGCACAAGTAGGTCTTTAGTGTAGCACGAGTAGGTCATTAGTGTAGCACAAGTAGGTCACAGTACAGCAAAAGTAGGTCAGCAAGGAGGGAGGGAAAGCGTCAGTAACAGGTGTAGGGTGAGGTAGGTAGAGGCGCCCCGCAGAGTCCAGCTCACGCCCCGATTGTCACCACACACACACACACACACACACAATACCTCCCTGTGACGGTGGTGGCGATGATGTCCTTCCTACAGACTTTCCAAGGCGTCACAATGGTGGGTAGACAGTCGTAAAAATGCTACTTGAGGCAGAAAATTTGAGCCATTTTGAGAGTGACGTATCGGAAAAACATGCGGATAATGAGCTGAGAGAAAGAAGTTTTGAAATAATACAAATTGTTGATGGTAAGTTTTGGCGATATTCTATTATACTAGAAGGAGATTTAGAAACTCCAAGAAGATTAGCTTTACGCATTTACTTTTTTTTATTAAATTATCACAAGGAGATATAATTACGAATGTTAAAATAGCGAAAATGAGAGGCTACGTGATTCCCCCCCCCCTTTTTTTATACAGTTTTGGACGTCATATCCACATAATGCCCAACTGATAAAGGACGCTTATGGCAGAGTGAACCTACCAATATTTTCATTTACTCCTCTTTCATAATCATTGTCATTAGGGGTAAATGAGGCGCATGGAAAGTGAAGACATTTTAAATGCAGTTAGACAAAAAAAGAGGAAGACATTGTTTACAGTGCGGTGTGTTTCGGAGGAATACACACGAAAGAATGAGTCGGTGCGTCCTGAGCTCAGCGACTGGACAATATATCACCACAATATAAACTGGACAATATATCACCGCATAATGTGTTGTCTAATGGTAGACCCTGCTGCCACATGGCATCACAAAATTTGTAACCAAGTCACAGGTTGCTGATCTGACTTTCTGCCTCATTTACACACAATTGCAGGATCTCAATTGTTTCTCTTACTTTGACAACACAACATACATAATGTATATCGTTTCTCACTCTTGATTTATTTATTTTTTCGTTTTTGTATTTATTTATGGTTATTATATTTTTATTATTATTATTTTTCAACCCCCAGGCCCCGATGTGGGACAGTGACCTGTGCCCGGATGGGCTAATCCCCGTTAAAAAAAAAAAAATATATATATATATATATATATATATATATATATATATATATATATATATATATATATATATATGTGTGTGTGTGTGTGTGTAGCTAACATAACATTATCCAGTAGATGATGTCGTCACTGGAGAGATACATAACCACAAGAGAGGAAGAATAGAGAGAACAGCCTTAAGAGGATGACAGTGATGGCGTTCTGTCATACATATTTATATCAGCGAGGAGCC